GTGCGGCCCGGGTTCGATCCTCAGCACCACATACCAACAAAGATGTTGTGTCCGCTGAGAACTAAAAAATAAATATTAAAAATTCTCTCTCTCTCTCTCTCCTCTCTCACTCTCTCTTTAAAAAAAAAAAAAAAAAGAATGATGAAAAAAAATTTAAAAAAAAAATAAATAATCCTAATTCCCAAAACCTGACCCAAGCTTGGTAAAAAATTTGATATTACCCTTTTTGTACATCTATAATTAAACCTAACATGACTTAAATTCATGTACAAAAATATGAGTATCTTTCTTTATTTTTTTTGGTACCAGGGATTGAACCCAGGGCCACTCAACCATTGAGTGTATTTTATTTTGAGACAGGGACTTGTTAATTCTTCACTTTTGCTGAGGCTAGCTTTGCACTCAAGATGCTCCTGTCTCAGCCTCCCGTGCCTGGCTATGAGGAAGATAATTTAACTATATTAACAATTCTAAATTATCACAAACTCTAGTAGTATCATAGTCTAATCACAGCTATTCACTTTAAAAAATGGCAATCTATAGATGTAGGATATTAGGATCATAAACCTCTGTCTAAGGAAGCATGGAAGTGACTTTGAATTGCAAAAAGAATGAAAACCAATGTTAGGTCTTTCCCTTCTCATTTAATAGCAACCCTATTCTTCTAGATCAGCAGACCAAAAACCTTGAAGTCATCCTTGACTCCTTTTTCTTTCCTCAAATCCAGTGCATCATTAAATCCTGTTTGGCTTTACCATCCCAACACATCCAAAATCTGATACTTCTCACTACCCCTACCACCACAGTACTAGTCCAAACTACCATTCCTTGCCTTAATTACAACAGCTTCCTAACTTGTGCCCTCAATTCTGCCCTTGCTTTCCTTCATTGTTTTCTCAACAGTGATGTTAGAATGAGCCTATTAAACCATTAAATCACATCATGTCATGCTTCTGCTCCAATGATTTCTGCTCTCAAAAGAAAAGCCAGTCTTCCTAAAACCTGCAAAGCTGTACATGATCCACCATTCCCTAATCATTTTGACCTCATGTGCTACTAACCAACCACTATGGCCTCCCTGATTCCTCAAACACACCAGACACACTACCACTTCAAGGCCTTTGGATTTGCTTCCTCTACCAAGAATGCTCTTCCTGTAGAAAACTCCCTTACCTTTCCTTGGCCTTTACTCTAGTCATCTCCATAAAGCCATCTCTCCTCACCACATACACACACATTCAATAATCTTCTTCCCTGAAATATTTTTCCTCTTAGCACTTACCACTATCTAACATAGTATATATTCTGATTATTAACTCTTCCTCCTAATGTCTGCATCTACAGACTAAACTCTATAAGGGCATGTTTATTTACTACTGTAACCTCAGTATCTAGAATGGTATCTGGCACAAAATAAAGGCTTAATATTTGTTTAAGTGGGGCTTGGGTTGTGGCTCAGTGGTGCAGCATTTACCTAGCATGTGAGGCGCACTGGGTTCAATCCTCAGCACCACATTAAATATAAATAAGTAAATACAAAAGGTCCATCAACAACTAAAAAAAATTTTAAAAAACATTTGATAAAGTGAATGAATGAATGAATGAATGAGCTTGACAGGAACAAAACAGGGAAAGACTACAGAACAAGTAAGAAAAGCCAACTGCCAGCAAAGACCTGTAACCCAGCATCAACAGAAGCCCTGCATACCATACATTCTAGCTAGCTACATCAGCAAGTACTGTAACAAGTTTGAAACCACTACTTGAGATTATTGTTATCTACAAGCACTAAGTGTTCCTTCCAAATTCACTGTCTATTCTAAACCAATCAAGGAGAAATTCTGGGAAAATGAAACCACAAATGAAAAACATGACTGCCTACCCATTATGAACTGTTTATTTTTTTTTAAATACTTACTTTTTTGTAGTTGTACACAATAACTTTTATTTATTTTTATGTGATGCTGAGGATCGAACCCAGGGCCTTGCACATGCGAGGCAAGCGCTCTACCGCTGAGCCATAACCCCAGCCCCCATTATGAACTGTTTTAACATAAAACTTATCAGGCAAATGCTGGAAGACATACCTAATGCTAAAATTTGAATACTACATAGAAAAGAGAAATCAAGGGATCTATCTAAGCTGGATTGTCATAGATCAATTATACAACCATAATTCCTGAATCTGTTTCTGGTACCCCTGTTAAAATAAAGATCACTCCTACCTAAGTCACTCTCAACTAGAAAAAAAAAAAAAAAAAAAAAAAAAAAAAAAAAAAAAAAAAAAAAAAAAAAAAAAAAAAAAAAAAACCAAGGACTGGAGATGTAATTTAGTGGCAGAATGTTTTCCTAGCATGTACAAGGCCCTGGGTTCAATCCCTGGTACTGGGGGAAATACAATTGTATACAATACAAATACAAGAAGTTACTAAATTCTTGATTTAGCTTATCCACTAGGTAGAATTAGTCAAATAACATCCTCTTGGGTTGGGGTTGTAGCTCAGTCGTTAAGTGCTTGCCTTGTATGCGTGAGGCACTGGGTTTGAACCTCAGCACCACATAAAATAAATAAATAAATAAATAAAGATATTAAAAAACAAAACAAAGAACATCCTCTTACAAAATTATTAATTAAAAATTAACAATTTCTCCAGTAGCCCCCAAATTAATAGAAAAAAAATTCTACTAGTATATTTGCCTCAGAAAGAGAACAGAACTGAATTTTTTTCTCAGAATAAGATTGTAATACAAGAAATTAGGGGCTGGGGATGTGGCTCAAACGGTAGCGCGCTCGCCTGGCATGCGTGCGGCCCGGGTTCGATCCTCAGCACCACATACAAACAAAGATGTTGTGTCTGCCGAAAAACTAAAAAATAAATATTAAAAAAAAAAGTAATACAAGAAATTAATCACAAGGTATAAATGCATTATAAATCTATTACTCAAAATAAAATTATACAAATACATATAAAATTACACACTCTCACATCAAAGCCAGCCTCAAACTAATCTTCTTTTTCTTTTTTCTGGCAGCTGGAGATTGAAGCCAGGGGTGCTTTACCATTGAGTTATATCCCCAACCCTTATGTTAAGACAGCCTCTGGCTAAATTGCCCAGGCTGGCCTCAAACTTGTGATCCTCCTGTCTCAGCCTCTCAAGTAACTGGGATTACAGGTGTTCTCCTCCCTCACTGGCTACAAACTAATCTTTGCTGGCTGCATAACAGTGGTTAGCTGGTAGACTTATTCAAATAACATCCTTTACAGTTGAGGAGAATAACTGTAAAGGAGCAAGAGAACTTTTTCTGGTAATGAGAATGCTCTAATTCTTAACTGAAATTGGAATTACGTGAACAAATACATGTGTCAAAACTCATCAAACTGTACATTTTAAATGGACACACTTATAATATGTAATTTAAATCTCAGTAAAGTTAAAGTAAATGAAAAAGTCTGACCTGTTTCTTTAAATAAAAAAAGTCACAAACCACTGAACAATGATCTCAAAGAGAGTTTGTATAATAAGATCCAATACAACAGTTGGAAGATTTAAGGGACAAAGCCTAAGGCAATGGCCAAAAAAAAGGTTCTCACGACCTTCTTGCCTCAAGGTCAACTCAAGGTTTGTGAGTGTGTGTGTGTGTGTCCCAGCAGCATAATCTATGAATTAAAAAAAAAAAAAAAAAAAAAAAAAAACTCAGCTTCTTCTCAAGAAGTAAACACTTCTCCCCAAACGGTATTACTTCAAAACGCATGCTGGAAAGAGCACAGGTACGGAGCACTTCAGACCTGGGTTCAAATGGATCTAGGCCATTAAGGATGTGAGCTTGAGAGTCCCCAGCCTCTCTGAGCCTCAGTTTCCCTCTGTGTAAAATGGACCTAACGATGGCTTAGAGTTTAACACAGTACACAGCAGGGGTCAATACATAAGTATCACGTGACATTATGTAAGGCGTGAGAATTTGGAGCTGGTGGAAACGCATGCAGATCTAAGACCCCCCCTCCCCTTTCCCCGGCTTCCTTATTAGTGTCGCGGCCCTTTTCACACACCTTATCGCCCTCAGCCAGGCCTCATTTCCTTCCTACGCACATTACGCGTAGCCTTTTCACCCCTCACCCCAGCAGCTCCCAGGGGCCTCCCACCACCCGGGCCCCACCTCATTGAGGAAGCGGGTGACATCGTACACTCGCCCGTGGATCACCAGCCATAGTTCCTTCGAGGAGTTGCGTTTTGCCACCTCCTCCAACCGATAATAGGTGACGGAGCTCTCGCCGCCCTGCCCTTTCCCATCGCTGCCGCTAGCTTCTTCAGTCGCCATTGAACCCGAGACACCTCCTTTCCGCGGCAATCTGGGTTTCTGCAGCTAACTTCCTTGAGGCAGAGCCCGCTCTAGGCCCTCCTCGGTTTCCGTAACCGGGTGAAGGCCTGGCTCGAGATCCAACCAGCCAATCAGAGTCGTCCAGCCCTTCCGCTCTTACCAATCAGACGTCGTGACTTTGGAACGGCGCCTAACGGAGGCCTGTTGATAGGTGTAAGCTCCGGAGAGGTTCTTTCACCCGGCCCGCGGTTCTGCGGAGTCCGGAAGGAGAGCCGTGTTTCCTGAGCCCCGCTTCCCTTGCCTTTCCCCGGGATCCCTCTGAGTCACACGAAGCTCGTCTTCCCCACTTCTTGATCAGCCCCTCTTCAGCTCTGGGTTTACATCTTTGCTGCGTCCAGGCAGTTGATGTGGCGAACCTCGGCACAGTCTCCTCGCCAGTAAATGAGCAGGATAACCTCTACCTTACCAGAGGAGTTTGGCAAATTAAATGAGGGGGCGTCCGTAAAGCGCTCAGCACATTTATTGCTACATAAATGACAGCCGTCATTAGAAGGGTAGGGCGACTGGCCTGAGGCCTTAGGACAGCGATTGGGGGCAGAGTATGGAGCCTCCTAAGTTCCTACCACTAGTAACTATCTGACAGTTCAGCGAATTCTTTGGTGATCAGCACCTGTCTACGTATTTTAGTTTCTACCTGATCTAAAATACAGTTCACCTCAACTGTCCCTGAGGTTCTCTCATTTTGGAATTCCAAATTTGGTTATATGTAGTGTTGTGAGCTACATATTTTTAATTGCTATTGTAACTGACAGCTTGATCATCCTAAAATGTCATTTTCTTCGGATCACTCACAGCCTAATGTAATTTAGGACTCTCCACAATACATTCACGACCTCCTTTAGAAATATTTTCTACCATTCCCTTTATAACTAGGGCATCAGCCACTGACTCCTAAACCTACTGGTTTTGTTCCCATATCCATTGGATATCCCATCCCATATCCACCCAGTTAAGATATCCTCTTCCTCCCAATGCCTACTTACCTGTCCTTTTTCAGAAAACACTCTTGCTGTTCTGAGCTCCATTGAGTCCATCCCCTTTTAGTATCTAAGCATATACTATTTTACGAAACAGACTATCTGTAAATTTTAACTTTCCAATATATTACATCCCTTATTAGACTGAAACTATGTGAGCAATCCCATATGGTTCTTAGGATCTTCTACAAACTCTAGATTCAAATATCAACATCATTTCAGGAAGATTTACTGCATCACAAGTCCTGTGATAGGCTCTGGACATAGAAAGGTAATATAAGAAACAAGCTCTCCAAAAGAAACAAAAACATCACACATATGTGTATATAATTCCTAGAATAGAGACACCAAACGCAATGGGACAGCTCTCAAAACATGTTGGTTAAATGATGAATTCACAATAAACCCCAGTGCATGAGGCTTGTGAGAAGGCTATGTTAAAAATGCAGATTCCCTGCCCCATTTCCAGAAACTCTGGTCCGAAAGGTCTAAGTATAGAACCAGAAATCAACAGGTTTTTTTTTTTTTTTTTTCCCAGTGCTGGGGATTAAACCCAGTGCCTTGTGCATGCCAGGCACATTCTACAAACTGAGCTATATCCCCAGCCCAGAAATTAACATTTTTAATAAGGATTTCAGGTAATTCTTATGCAGTTTATCTGTGGAAAGTGAGTTCAGTTGTGTGTGTGTGTGTGTGTGTCTGTGTGTGTGTGTGTCTGTGTTTGTTTTGGTCCTGGGAATTGAACCCAGGGCATTTAACTACTGAGCCAAGTCTCCAGCCCTGCTTAATTTTTATTATTTTTTATTTTTATTTTTCCAAGAACAAAGGTTTAACTTTAGTTTTCCATTTATTTATTTATTTATTTGTGTGTGTGTGTGTGTGTGTTGCTGAGGATTGAACCCAGGGCCTTATGCATGCAAGGCAAGCACTCTACCAACTGAGCTATACCCCCAGCCCTAGTTTTCCATTTATTTTGAAACAGGGTCTCACTAATTTGCTTATGGCCTTGCTTAGTTGCTGAGGCTGACTTTAAATTTTTGATCCTCTTGCCTCAGCCTTGCTGGGATCAAAGGCATGTACCACCATGCCTGGCCTGACCCTGTTGTGTTTTTAAAGACAGATGGCCATGTACAGTGGCATGTGCCTGTAATCCCAGTGACTCACGAGGTTGAGGCAGAGGATCTCAGGTTTGAAGCCAGCCTGGGCACTTAGTGAGACCCTGTCTCAAAAAATAAAAAATAAGGCTGGGAATGTAGCTCAGTTGTAGAGCACTTGACTAACCTGCATAAAGATGTGAGTTCAATCCTCAGAATCACACACACAAAAAAATTTAAATGGTAAAAATAAATAATTTTTTAAAGGATTGGGATGTAGCTCAGTGGTAGAGCACCCCTGGGTTAATCCTCAGTACAGAAAGAAAACAATATAGACAGACAATGAAAGAATAGATTGAGAGAATCTCTTGGGTAAAGGGAGAAGTTGAAGAAATATATTTGAAGTACAGCAAAAGCAAATGAAGGGATGCATTTATAGTGGGAAGAGATTTCTAACTGGCAAGAGCAGTGGTTAGTGTTTCCCCAGGAACTGGGAACCCATAAATATGATAGTACTCCATTTATTCCAGTTTTTTAAAAAATTTGTCATTTTTCAACAAAGTGTTTCCATATCTTTTTATTTCTAAATATTTTGTTTTTTTATGTTACAAGTGAAATGATTTCATTTTTCAAACATTTGCCACCACTAAAGAGAAGCATAATTGATTTTGTACACTGACTTAATAGTTTATGACTTAATAGTTTATGACCTTGCTAAGTTCACTTACAGTTCTAGTAGTTGTTTTGTAGATTTCTTAAGATTATTTATATAACAATCATGCTATGCTAACAGAGACACTTTACTTTCCCCTTTCCAATCGGAATGCCTCTGTTTTCCTCACCTTATTGCACTGTTTAGGACTCCAGTCCAATGTAGAATAGAAATGGCAAGGAGATCAAGAACAGCCAGAGAAATGAAAAGTTTTGCTCTGTTTGTGTACAATGAAATGAAATGCATTCTTCTGAAAAAAATTTTAAATGTTAATATACAAAGAAAAAAGAAATGGCAAGATGAGCATCCTTGTTTTGTTCCTGATCTTGGGGAGGAAAGTATTCAGTCTTTCAGAATGAATTATGATTTGTCAGTAGATATCCTGTATCAGCTTGAGGAAGTTCCCCTATCCTCCTAGTTTCCTGAGTTTGTTTTATTTTTGTTTTGTTTTTATCAGGAAAAGGTGTTGAATCCTGTCAAACATATTTTGTCCATCAATTGGACTGATGTGATTTTTTTTTCCTTTACTGTGTTAAGACAATAGCTTACAATGATTGGTTTTCAAAAACTTAATCATCTTTGCATTCCTGAGGTGAACCCCACTTGGTTATGACATTAGTCTTTTTTTGTAAATTGTTGGATTCAATTTGCTAATATTTTCAAAGGATCATTGCACTATATTCACAAAAAATGTTTATAGTTTTTTCTTCTTGAATGGAAGAGAAAACTATCAAAGAAAAAATTTCTTCAATAGTTTTTTTTTTTTTTTGTGGGGGGGTATACCAGGGATTGACCCCTGGGGCACTCGACCACTTAGCCACATCCCCAGCCCTATTTTTTGTATTTGATTTAGAGATAGGGTCTCACTGAGTTGCTTAACTCCTCATTTTTGCTGACGTTGGCTTTGAACTCCAGATCCTCCTACCTCAGTCTCCCAAGCCACTGGGATTACAGGCATGTGCCACCGCGCCCTGCTTGATGGTATTTTTTCCAAACTTTTTGAAAATATGTACTGAGTAGCTTCAGCTAAGCACTGGGTCACTTAATCAGAACTCTTAGCTCAGTGCTTTCCACAGAGTCCTCAGTAAATGCTAACTACTTTGGGGTGTAATTTCTAGATGCTGAAAATGAGACCTTGTTCTTAAGGAAAATTCCGAGGAAGATGGCATTTACATTTAAACAATTTTAAACATATTTATCATTGCTGCTTCATTCACCCCCACTTCCACCCTGGTCCTGGGGATTGAACCCAGGGGCACTTTACCACTAAGCTACATCTCCAGCCTTTTTAATTATTTACTTTGAGACAGGGTCTCGCTAAGTGGCTGATGGTGTTGGTAAATTGCCAAAGCTGGCCTCAAACTTGGGATCCTCCTGCCTCAGTGTTCCAAGTAGCTGGGATTGCTGGCCTACGCCAGCAAAGCCCACTTTACATTGCTTATTTTACATATTAGATAGTTCTCTCCTGAAGCTGTCCAAGTGTGTACTCTATAATTCATGTGTGTGAGAGACACTGCTCCAGGGGAGTCATTATTTCCTTGTAGATGATTATACTGCTTTTGTGTAAATAGTGGAATTAGAACAGGGAACTGTTGAGATGAACCCTGTGCATGCTCCTTGTGAACAGAGCAAGAAGCAAGGATTCTGTCCATTTTTTTGCAGACACCAAGCACACCTACTGAGTGTTCTCATACTCTTTTATGTTGGGGGAGGAGGCATTCTCCTTTCCTGTACCAGTAATGAAATACAATGACATGACTCTCGAATTTGTTCTTGCCCTTCTCAAGGTATTATCCCCTGGCAACTTAGTCTCTTCCTTTCTTAAAAAAAAAAAAAAAAAAGACCAGCATCAAGCTGTCCATTATTCTCTTTCCCTTGCCAGGGTCAGACTGAATCAGCCAGTATCCTGGAGGTATCAGAAAGTTGATATAAAAGTAGGAAACTAAATCTCCAGGATATAGCCTCAGGGAGGGTTTGGTTGCCAGCATGCTAATTGGTTCCCAACCACAGTCAACCAGACCTCTCCAGCCTCTTTTGCGGTGAAACACCATAGGAAATGGACTCTTCTCGAGTTTCCCCCAAGACCATCCTGTTAAGTCCTATGCCAACAGGGCCCAATAGCCTCCTGCCCCCAGCCCAGCCCAATTTTTAGAAATGAAAGAAACTACTATGAGGACAGCCATTGACAAAGATGGTTTCATTCCTGCTTTGGCTGCCTGGCTTTAGAACATTGATTCTTCCTCTTTGCAGTGTTTATTGAATAATAATAATTATTATTATTATTATTTTGATAATGATGATGATGATGCATGTGGAATTGGGGATCAAACCCAGAATATTGCAAATGCCAGGTAGAGCTCTACGACTGAGCTACAATCCCAGCCCTTTTTAAATTTTATTTTGAGACAGGATCTGGCTAAATTGCCCAGATTGGCCTGGAACTCTGGATCCTCCTGCCTCAGCCTCCTGAGTAGGTAGGATTGTGCACCATCAGATTTGCCTTAGCTTATTTTTAACAGATAGTAAATACATCCATGTTTTGAAAAGTAAATGTATGTGTTTATAAATATGTGTGTAAATAGCTATCTCCAGTTTCCAACACGTAACTACTAGTTACTTATTTATCACCCATATCTCTTCCCTTTTTATACAAAACTTGTTATGCATAGCTTATTATACATACTTTGTTTATATTGCTTTATTCACATAACAATTTCTCTTTGCATGGTGGCACACAACTGTAATCCTAGAGACTTGGGAGGCTAAAGCTGGATGATTACAAGTTCAAGGCCAACCTGGGCAATTTAGCTAGCCAGACCCTGTCTCAAAACAAAAAGCTAGGCTCCCACTCCTGTCATCCCAGTGGCTGGGGAGGCTGAGGCAGGAGGATCGAGAGTTCAAAGCAAGCCTCAGCAAAAAACAAGGTGCCAAGCAACTCAGTGAGACCCTCTCTCTAAATAAAATAAAATACAAAATGTACTGAGGCAGGAGGATCATGATACAAAATAGGGCTGGGGTTGTGGCTCAGTGGTGGAGTACCCCTGAGTTCAATCCCAGTACCCACCCAAAATAAAGAAAGACAAAAAGAAAGCAAAAAGGGTGTGACTCGGTGATAGAGTACTTACATAGCACACACGAGGCCCTAGGGTCAATAACCAGTACCACACAAAATATTTTTTTTCATTTCACACTCACAAGGATGGTTATTTTCTTATTTTTTTTTTTTAAAAGAGAGAGTGAGAGAGAGGGGGACAGAGAGAGAGAATTTTAACATTTATTTATTTTTTCTTAGTTCTCGGCGGACACAACATCTTTGTTGGTATGTGGTGCTGAGGATCGAACCCGGGCCGCACGCATGCCAGGCGAGCGCGCTACCGCTTGAGCCACATCCCCAGCCCGGTTATTTTCTTAATGTTTATTTTATTTATATGTGGTGCTCACAGGATTGAACCCAAGGCCTCAAATGTGCTAGGCGAGCACTGAGCCACAACCCCAGCCCCATAAGGATGGTTATAATCAAAAAGACAATAACAAGTGTTGAAAGATATTCAGAAAAATTGGAACACTTATATGTTGCTGGTAGTAATGTAAGAGTGCCCCTGAGTTCAATCCCTGGTACGTGCCCACCCAAAAAGAAGTCTGAATTAGTAGTTAGGGAAAGGTCATGAAGAGAAGAAGGGAGTGACTAAAAAGCATAAAAAGAGGGCTGGGGTGTAACTCAAAGGTAGAGTGTTTAGGCCATGGGTGCCCAAGGCTCTGGGTTCAATCCCCAACACCACAAAAAAACAAACAGAAAACAAAAACAAACAAAAACTTGCAATACCTCTGAGGCGTGGTGCCAATGAGAAAACGGATGCAAAAAAGAAAAAAAACTTTGAAATAATAAAACTCTTTTTTTTAATATTTATTTTTTAGTTTTTGGTGGACACAACATCTTTATTTTATTTGTATTTGGTGCTGAGGATCGAACCCAGCGCCCCACGCATGCCAGGCGAGCGCTGTTACCACTTGAGCCACATCCCCAGCCCTCATAAAACTCTTTATAGTGGAAAAGATTCTTTTTGTTAAAGATAATCTCATACACAGACTAGATGGCTGTCATTGTTTCTATTATAGCCTTTTGGGTAAAGCTCACTCTGAAAAAAACATATTTCCATAAACACAGTTTTCTTTAGGCTGGTTTTGCCCTCTGTATATTCCTATTGCCTTTGCTCCATGGCATTATCTAGTCTGTTAAGGATCAGTAGCAAAGCACACAAAGCTTCTTAGTGATTTAATTAACCTACCTTTAGTGGAGTTTTTTGTTGTTTTGCAGGGGTGGGGTGGGTAGTACTGGGGGGGTTGAACCCAGAGCTTTACCCATGTGTACTGTGTCATTGAGTTCTTAGTATATTTTAAAACCAGCTTTAGCCAGGTGCAGTGGTGCCCAGCAGCTAGGCTCAGGAGGCTGAGGCAGGAGGATCATGAGTTCAAAGCCGGGGCTGGGGATGTGGCTCAAGTGGTAGCAGGCTCGCCTGGCATGCGTGCGGCCCAGGTTCGATCCTCAGCACCACAGACAACAAAGATGTTGTGTCTGCAGAGAACTAAAAAATAAATATTAAAAAATTCTCTCTCTCTCTCTCTCTCTTAAAAAAATGTTTAAAAAAAAATGAGTTCAAAGCCAGCCTCAGCAACAGGGAGATACTAAGCAACTTAGACCCTGTCTCTAAATAAAATACAAAATAAGGCTGAGGATGTGGCTCAGTGGTTAAGTGCCTCTAAATTCAATCCTCAGGAACCCCCACAAAAATAAAAACCAGCTTTATTTAAATATCTTTTTTTTTTGGGGGGGGGGCAGGGTACTGGGAATTGGAAAAAAAAAAAAAAAAGTTCCAGGCCAGCCTCAGCAACCCAGCTGAAGGAGAACTGGGGATGTGGCTCATTGGTAGAGCACCCCTGGGATCAATCCCCAGTACCAAGAAAAAGAAAACATTTATCTGAACTAATGTACTCTTTATTAACCATTGATTCAAGTAGGAACTTCTTGTGTGTGTAGCTAAAGAAGTGAGGTGGTTATGAATTAAGTAATAAGTCACTTAAGTGGTAGCAGGAGAGGAATCAAATTTAAAAATTTTTGAATCAATAATATTCTCACTTGATCCTAAAGTAAAAAAGAAAACAATGAAACTTAAAAGGAAAATATCTTACCCAACTTTTCTACCCAGTTTCCATCCCTTTCACTCACCCACCCCAGATAATCAATTTTATTAATTGTGCATATATCTTTCCTGAGTTTGTTTTTGCAAATGCAAGTTAGTATTTCTATTTAATATAAAAGATAACAAACAACTTACAGTTCTGCATCTTGCTTTTTTTAACTTAAGGACATATCTTAGGAATGTTCAGGTATCAGTGCTTGTCTCACATGCCCGAGATCCTGGGTTTGCTCCCCTGCACTGAAAAATAAAAAAGTTTAGACATTAACACAGAGAGCACCTCCTTGTTCTTTTTTGACAGTTGCATAGTTTTCCACAATTTTACAGTTTGATATGAATGTGACACAGTTTAACTAGTTTTATGCTGATAGAGATTTGGATTGCTTCCAGTGTTTTGCAATTTCAGAGATTACTGTAATTAATGAACTTGATCTTACATAATCACACACACACAAGAAGAATGGGACTTCTAGGTCAAAGGCATATGCATTTGTAATGTTAGCAATTGCATAAATTTATTTCTCACTGGCAATGCATTTGAGTGCCAGTTTACCCAACCCAACATATAGGTATTATTAAAGCTTTCAAAGTATGCCAATCACATTTGTATCACATTGCAGAGTTTTTTGTTTGTTGGTTGGTTGGTTTTTGGTACTAGGAATTAAACCCAGGAGTACTTTACCACTGGAGCTATATCCCTAGTTCTTTTTGTGTTTTTATTTTGAGACAAGGTCTCGATAAGCTGCTTAGGGCCTCCCTAAATTGCTGAGGCTGGTGGCAATCTCTGGCTCCTCCTTCCTCAGCCTCCTGAATGGCTAGGATTACAGTCATACACCACTATGTCTGGAGTGACTTCTCATTATAGTTATAATTTGCATGTATCTTCTTATGTTTGAGGGTAAATATCTGTTTCTATGGTTTAAAGTCAGAAAGGATTTGACCAATCTTCTACTCAGATAAAGTTCTGAAAAATAATCCTAATGGCCAAGAATTTTCTTGAATTGAGATGAGTTAATTTCTATACGCATGCACCTGACTGTCTAAGAGGATATTCCCTCTGCCTGGATGGTCTCCCCAACCCTAACTTCATGTATTGGTCTTATTCTAATCTAGATTTAAATGCCAGCACCTAAATGAGGCTTTGGCTAGTACCTCGTCCTAGTGGCCACCTCTCTCTTTAAAAAAAAAATTAAATATTTTATTAGTTGTTGACGAACCTTTATTTATTTATATGCTGTACTGAGAATCGAACCCAGTGCCTCATACATGCTAGGCAAGTGCTCCACCACTGAGTCCTAGTGGCCACCTCTCTCTTTAAAAAAAAAATTAAATATTTTATTAGTTGTTGACGAACCTTTATTTATTTATATGCTGTACTGAGAATCGAACCCAGTGCCTCATACATGCTAGGCAAGTGCTCCACCACTGAGTCCTAGTGGCCACCTCTCTAACGCATCATTCTATATTTACTTTCACGCCATAGAATTCATGGCTACATGATATTTTCTGACATATGTGTCAACTGCTCTCTGTGTTCACTATTGTATCCTCAGTGTGTGATATTGTGCTTGGCGCACAGTAGGTATTTAATAACCATCTATTGAGTAAATAAATGCCCAACTTCTGGAATGAAGGGAAAGGGTGAAATTTCTTCTTTTTTTTTTTTTTTAGAGAGAGAGAGAGAATTTTTAATATTTATTTTTTTAGTTCTCGGCGGACACAACATCTTTGTTGGTATGTGGTGCTGAGGATCGAACCCGGGCCCCACGCATGCCAGGGGAGCGCGCTACCGCTTGAGCCACATCCCCAGCCCAGGGTGAAATTTCTAAAGAGAGTTTTTTGATATTGGAGTGTGGGAAAAGAATTTGACCTTGCTACTGGGTTGAAAATGCCTACAGGCAGCCCTACTGCTTTATTTCCAGAGCATTTTAATTTTGTGCTAACTCTGAGCTGTGGACGTGAGACCCACCCCCGGTTAAGTTCAGGTTAGGTTTGGGACACTGAAATATTTTCTTTCATCCATAATCACTGAATCAAGTCCTATAAATCAAATAGTTAAGACGCAAAACACAAACAAGGTCATAATTTGTTTCTTCCTGCCCTCTGTTTTTCTTGGCATGAAAAAACTCAGGGTTTTCCAGACTAGAGATGGGTAATGACATTGGAGGGTGATTCATTGAAAGTGGTCTAAATAACTGGCCTTTTATTTCTTCTCATTCTTTCCCCTTATTGTCCCAACTCATGTAAGGAAACACATTGAATAAAATAGTTCTTCTGCTGATAAAGAACTTTCCATTGACTCTTTGTTCATTTGCATCTATATGTTCCCAGAATCAAATTCTTGGAACTGAACGGACTAACATGAGAAAGAATAGATGTGAAGGTATTTCTGGTAGAGAAGGAAGGTCAATGGCCCTGACTAGTGGAAATCTTGTCTCTTCCCACCTTTTCTTATCGAAGCTGCCTATCAAGACCCTGGCCACATAAGCAGGAGGCAGGTATGACTATGGGCAAGTCTGACAGCCTCAGTTCTTCATCTGTAAAATGGGTGCTATCATACCAGACCTTCTCTAACGAGCATCATTACTTTCAACTGAGGCCAGGAGAAAGGGAAGTGGTAAAATCAAAAAAGCATTTAATAGTATATATACATCACAATATTAAGGGAAACAACAGAATATACTTTTTTATCTTCTACACTATGCACTTCTATATTATTTGAATTACTTGTATAAAATTTTTACAGGAATAATGAGCCAGGTAGGGTGGCACATTCCTGGAATCTCAGCAACTCAGGAGGCGGAGGCAGAAGGATCATAAGTTAAGTTTGAGGTCAACATGGACAAATTAGTGAGGCCTTGTCTAAAAATTTTTTGTGGATTGAACTCAGAGCACATGACCACTGAGCCACATCCCCAGCCCTATTTTGTATTTTATGTAGAGACAGGGTGTCACTGAGTTGCCTAGAGCCTCACTATTGCTGAGGCTGGCTTTGAACTCGTGATCTTCCTGCCTTAGCCTCCTGAGCTGCTGGGATTACAGACGTGCACCATCATGGCCCAACTTGCCTAAAAGTTTTTGAAGGGCTGGGGATGTAGGTCTGTGGTAAAATGTCCCTGGGTTCAATCACCAGTACTTAAAAAAAAAAAAAAAAAAGGGTAGAAAAAATAGTTAGAAAAAGTTTAGACAGTAATAAATCAAAATGCTAAAAGGTAGTTCAAGAGTTGAGAGTCGTAGTTAATTTTACCTTTCACCTTTATGTTTTTCTATATCTTTTTAGTTTTTTCAAAGATCATACATTCCTTTTGTAATTTAAAATAATAATAAAATGTATTTTAATTTAAATTGGTTTGTGTGTCCCAATCTCCTGCACATCTCTGTGGAAGTGAAACAATTTATTTTCTAAGAGGTGGGCACAGAGGATAAAAGTGGGAGGAGAGAGGTGGGGGACAAATGTGACTATGATCCTGGTCAGATGAGGCTATGGAAAAATACCAGGGATGCCACACCCTCCACATGGCTCTGCTGAAGTCTAATTTTGTGTGTGTGTGTGTGTGTGGTTTTTTTTTTTTTTCCTACCACCTGGTCCTGGGGATGAAATTCAGTGTCGCCTCTGCGAGGCAAGCAGCTCTACCACTGAGCTGTATCCCAGGCCACTGTTGAATCACCTCTGTGTTGTTCCTGCCTGCCCCCTACCATATGAAATAAAAGTTTGTTTCTCCTGCTGATATAAGTAAATCTAGCTTCCATGCCTTTATTGCAACTTATCTCTGAGCACTCCACTGTTCCTGTGAGTTCCCTAGGAATTGCTCCTTGCTCTTGTGACCTTAATAAGAAAGGGGGAGAATAAAAGGGTGAATCTGTGGGTTGGTGGTTCTTGAGGATTTTTTCTTTTTTGGTACTGGGAATGGAACCTAGGGGTGCTTTACCATTGAGCTACGTCCCCAGTCCTTTTAATTTTTTATTTTGAGACAGGGTTCACAAATTTGCTTAGGGTCTCACAAAAATTGCTGAAGCTGGGGCTAGGGTTATAGCTCAGCAGTAGAGCGCTTGCCTCACACACGTGAGGCACTGGGTTCGATCCTCAGCACCATGTAAAGATAAATAAAATAAAGATATTGTGTCCATCTTTAAAATTGCTGAAGCTGCCCTTGAATTTGTAATCCTCCTGCCTCAGCCTCCGGAGTTGCTGGGTTTAGAAGGATGCACCAATGTGCCCAATTTCTTGTTGACTATAGGGATTCAATTAATAGCAAGCCTTCTCCCTTCCCAGCTCTAAACTAATTGAAGGAGAAACGAAAGCCAGAAGATGAATTATCTTCCAATAAAGGCTATAGGTTGGAGCTGGGCATTAGTGATGCACGCCCATAATTCCAGAGGCTTGGGAGACTGAGGCAGGAGGATCATGAGTTCTAAAGCCAGCCTCAGCAATTTCGAGGGGCTCTAAGCAGTTTAGGAAGACCCTTCTCAAAATAAAATATATAAAGGGCTGGGGATGTGACTCAGCGGTTAAGCTAACCCATGAGTTGGCTAAGTGTGTGTGCTAAACAAGCTTCCTATTTATAGGGGAGTTTTGGTACCAGGGATTGAACCAAGGGGATCTTAACCACTGAGCCACATCCCCAGCTCCCTGCTTATTTCACCAGCCCCAGGCAATGACAGAGCATGCTCCTTCCCAGCATCCCCCACCTCCACCCCGCCAAAATTGGGAATGACCCAGGACCTCACGCATGCCAGGCTAGCACTCTACCATTAAGCCCCCCTCCCAGCATTTTGATCCTAGAAGCCCAGAAAGAGGAAGACACCGAGTGGTTCATGCCCAATTTTTCTTAATACCCTCCTTCTCCTATGTGCAGGATAAAAGGGTGAAGAGCAGCCTGGGTTACATTGGTTCATGACCCTCCACAGTGAAGGAACTATCTGGAGTAGGAGGAAGCATTTTCCTCTCCAAAGTCTATACTGTTTCTTGGATCATAGAACATTATAAGACTGTGAAGCAAGTTATAAACAGTCACTATCTCAGGGGCTGAGGTTGTGGCTCAGTAGTAGAGCGCCTGCCTGGCATGTGTGAGGCACTGGGTTCTATCCTCAGCACCACACATAAATAAATAAATAAAGGTCTATCAACAACTGAAAACATCTTAAAAAAATAAAAATAAACCACTATCTCAGAAAAATGCACCTAGGCACTGTGTTATGGAAATAATTGCCTGTCGGCCTTTCCCTTTTAGGAGCCCCAG